ATTTTCAAGAGTAAACAAAAGAAGGTAGGTTGTGGGAGGAAGTATAAATTTGGAGCAGCAACAGCATAGGGGTGAGTTGCATGCTTTCCTATGGCTTTACCCCAAAATTGTATGGTAGGTGCAGTTTTACAGAAGCACAGGAAGCTAAAACTAGGAGAAAAGCCTCACCATCTTTCTGGCTGGGAAGAAAAAGCAAAGAGCCTGGGCAACAATAGCCACTGGACAGTGAGATGGGAGTCCTAGAGGGAAAAAGCCAGAGGAGTAAATACCCTGATTTTATGTATGAAAATTAGAAGCAGTTCAGGTTGATCCCTTACACATTCATATGTGGGACCGTTTTAAAGCAACAGAGCACAGGCTTAAGGAATTGAATGAAGATTTAGGGACTGCCTGCAGAAAGTAATAAGGGAGTAATAGCTTATGTCATACCAGGTTAATTGATGGTAAAAATGGAAACATCAACAAAATTCCTCGAGGTGTATCATCGAACCAGAAATCAGTACAACAAAATTTTCAGAATGCACATGATAGAATACAAAAAATCAGTCAAAATACACAGAACCAAAAAATTACCACACATTCTCAGTGACCTAAATTTCCAACTGAAGAAACTACATGTAAATATTTAAAAATTATATTAGGTAAAGAACTTGAATCCAGACTATATAAAGAACTCTTACAACCTATTAGTTTACCAATGGGCAAAAGATTTGACAGACATTTCACAAAGAAGATACACAAATTACTAATAAACACGTGGAAAAAATGTTCATTGCCATTTTTCATCAAGCGAAAAATTTAAAACAATACATCATTAGACATCTTTCAAAATAGAATTAAGAAGATGTAATAGCAAGTTGTGGGGATGATGTGACCTCATAAACTGCTAGTGGGAATGTAAAATTGTAAAATCATTTTGGAAAACAGTTTAGCAGACTTTTTAAAAGTTGATCATACACCATCTATAATCCAATGACTCCACCATCTATAACCCTATTCCATATGAAAACAAATGTCCACATATATTACAAGTGTTCACTGCACCTTCATTTACAATATTCTAAAACTGCATATAACCTAAATGTCCATCAGCAGTGACTAAACAAATAACGTATAACTATATGATGGAATAGTACTCAATAACCAAAAGGCACTACCTACTTACTAATATATCTATCATGGATGACTTCCAAAATTATTACATTGAATAAAAGAATTCAGGCAAAAAAAAATTACTGGGGAACATACAATAGTCCAAAATATATGTAATGCAGAAAAAGCAGTTTAAGAGGGCAATTTATAGTGTTAGAGTCCTACCTCAAGAAATGATAAAAATCTCAATCTAACTCTATGCCTAAAAGAACTAGAAAGAACAAAGGAAGCCCAAAGTTAGTAGAAGAAAGGAAATAATAATGATCATAGTGAAAATAAATGAAGTAGAACCTAAAAATAACAAAAAAATCTGAGAGCAAGAGCTGTTTCTTTGGAAAGATAAATAAAATTGACAACACTTTAGTTAGACTCACCAAGAAAAAAAGAGAGGTGGCTCAAATATATAAAATCAGAAATTAGGAGCATTTACAACTGTACCGCCAAAATATAAAGGATCATAAGAGACTACTGTGAATAATATTTGACAATGAAGTGGACGACTTAGAAGAAATGTACAAATTCCTAAAAACATACAGTTTGCCAATATTGAATCATGAAGAAATATAAATTATGAATAGACCAGTTACTAGCAAAGATATTGAATCATTAATCACAAACCTCCAAACATATAGAAGTCCAGGATCAGATGGCTTCACTGGTGAATTCTGCCAAACATTTAAAGAAGATTTAATATCTGTTCTTTTTTAACTCTTTCAAAAATGGAGTAGAAGGGAATGCTTACAAACTCATTTTATAAGGCCAACATTACCCTGATAACAAAATACATGAGGGCCTGACAAAAAAAGAAACTTAGAAGCCAATATCTGTGATGAACATAGATGCAATGATACTAAACAAAATATTAGCAAATTGAAGAATGCATTTAAAAGGATTATACACCACAATCAAGTGGGATTCATTCCAGTGATAGAGGATGGCTTAACATGTGCAAATCAGTCAACATAATACACTACATTTTCAAAATGACAAAAGTTATTATGAATAAATGTAGAAAAATCATTTGACAAAATTCATCATCCATTCATGATAAAAACTCAACAATTGGGATAGAGTGAACATACATCAACATAATAAAGAACATATATGACAAACCCACAGCTAACATCATAATAAATGGTGAAATAGTGATAGCTTCTTCTCTAAGATGAGGAATAAGACAAGGATGCCCAGTGTTACCACTTTTATTCAAGTAGTATTGGAAATCCTAGCCACATCAATTAGCTATGAAAAATAAGTAAAAAGCATATATAATGGAAAAGAAGAAGTAAAAGTGATGGTATTTTCATGTGAAACCCTAATGACTCCACTAAAAAATTGTTAGACCTAATGTATTTAGTAAAGTTGCAGGACACATTATCAATATAGAGAAATCTGTTGTATTTATACATACCAATAATGGACACTCAGAAAGAGAAATTAAAGTAATCACATTTACAATTGCATGAAAAGGAATAAAATACCTAGGAATAAATTTAACCAAGGAGTAAGAGACCTGCATTCTGAAAATCAGAAGACAGTGCTAAAAGAAATTGAAGAATACACAAATAAATGGAAAGATATTCCATGCTAATGTCTTAGAAAAACTGATATTGTTAAAATGTCCATACTACCTAGAGCATTCTACATATTCAATGCAATCCCTGCTAAGATTCCATTGACATTTTCACAGAGATAGAAAAATAATTCTAAAATTTGTATGGAAGCCGAAAAGACTGAAAAGCCAAAGCAATATTGAGAAAGATGAACAATACTGGAGGTATCATTGATGTCAAACTATGCAACAAAGCCTTAGTAATCAAAACAGTATGGTATTGGCATAAAAGCAGACAAATGGATCAGTGGAACAGAATAGAGGGCCTAGAAATAAACCCATATATATCTGGTTGATTAACTTACAACAAAGGTGGGGAGAATATACAAAAGGGAAAAGGCAATTTTTTTCAATAAATGGCGTTGGAAAACTGGATAGCCATATACAAAATAATGAAACAACCATTATTTTATAGCATACACAAAAGTTAAAGTGGATTAAAGAATAAGAAAAGAAGACTGAAACCATGAAATTCCTATAAGAAAATAGCTAGTAAGCTCCTTGACATTGATCTTTGTGGGGTTTTTTTGTTTTTTTTTTTTGTATCTGAGTACAAAGGCAAGGGAAACAAAACAAAAACAGACAAATAGCACAGCATTAAATTTAGAAGTGTTTAGACAGTGAAGGAAACCAGCAACAGAATGAAAAGGCAATCTACTGAATGGGGGAAGATATTTTCAAATGATATGTCTATTAAGGGGTTAGTATCCAAAATATATGAAGAACTCGTGCAACTCAGCAACAAACTACTCAATTAAAAAATTGGCAGAGGATCTGAAGAGACATTTTTCCAAAGAAGACATACATATGGCATAGGCACTTGAAACACTAGTTCAAAAAGATATATCCACCTCTATATTCATTGCAGCATTTACAACAGCTAAGATACAATTACAACCTAAGTGTCCATTGATGGATGAATGGATGAAGAAGATGTATATAAATGTATACAATTGAATATTATTCTGCTATAAAAAAGAAGGAAATCTTGCGATTTGTGACAACATGGATGAACTTTGAGCGTATTATGCTAAATGAAATAAGTGATGGAGAAAGAAAATATTTCATTCATATGCAAAATCTTAAAAACGAAACAAAGGGAGCAAACAAAATTAACCTAAAAGAAACTCATAGATACAAATTGGTGGTTACAGGGTCAGGGGGAGAAGATGATTGGGGGGTAGATGAAATATGTGAAGTGATTCAGTTTTATGGTGATAGATAGTATCTAGATGTAATGGTAGTAAATACTTCATAGTGTACACAAATTTCAAATTATAATGTACACCTGAAACAATGTTACATACCAAGTCAATAAAACATTAAGTATGTCTTAGGAAAAATAAATAAAAACATGTTTACTGAGTTTAGCCTTTGATCTTAGTATGATTGGTTCCAGAATTCCATCAAAGATTCTTGAAATCTAATCTCAGTTATCAATGAGAACCTATCATAGAGGGGAAAAACTTTATGCCTGGGGTGATAGTCAGTGGTGATTGGCACTCTGCCTCTTAAGCTATTTCTACTCTGCTGTGTCTTTTTCAGGAAGCTTGAGGTCACCGTTGTATATTCATATCCCTGTATACCTTTCATCTCTTCATTTTCTTTCTTATCTTCTTCAGATACTGTGGTATATGGTAGTATTTTTATTTCAGCTCACTGTGCATCTCATTTGCCTCATTGTCAAAACTATATAGTCAGTAATTGAAAGCACTTAGCTTTGCAAGTCTTAATGTTACTGTTCTTACTAATACTAAAACCTCATTTAAAATAGTATCACTGGGCATTTATTTATAAAACATACTTTTCCACTGTAAGATATAATTTTAAAAAAATTGGTGATGGTTAGCATTTTTTAGTAATGTATTTTTTATTGAAGTGTATACATTGTTTTTTAGATATAATGCTATTGCACACTTAAACTGTATAGTGTAAACATAATTTCTTTATACACTGGGAAGCTAAAAAATTCATTTGACTGGCTTTATTGTTACATTATTTTTATAGCAGTGGTCTGGAACTGAACCCCAATATCTCTGAGCTATGCCTGTATTTCTCCTTAGTTAAGGTATTGTTTCGGGCTTAATTACTTTTTTTTAAAAGAAAACGAGTTTTTTTTTAAAGAAGACTATAGCATTAAAAACTATGATCTTTTTGCATATGAATTTGAGAAGAATAATACTTTATTCATTTTAGAAATAAATTCTAACCAAAAATTTGTTGTTTTATGTCTTAGGACAAAGTTGTTGCTGTTCAGTTCTGTAACAATGGAGACAGGTAACTATGTAGTACATACCTATGTAAACAGATGTCTGACTTTTTATCTCTTTTTTCCTCAGAATTAGCTATATTTGCTCTAGATACTTTATTTCTTTCCAGTTACTTAGGCTGAAAGCCCTTGTCTATCTTTGATGATATTCTTGTATCATGTCTCCTAAATTACCATCCAAATAGTAGCCATATTTCATCAGTTCTTTCTGAGTGATTTATTTTTTGCTCATTTTACTTTTTCCATTTTTTGTTATCACCAACCTTAATCAAGGATTCCACTATTTGAGCCATTGTCTTCAGGTTTCTTCTCCCTCCTAAATATAACCTGTCCATCTCTTATCAGATCAACATTGCTCTGTTTAGACATCTTTAGTGTTTCCTCTTTGTTTATAGAATAGAATTCAAATGTCTTAACCTGGAAATCAGAACTTCCTATAACTTGACTTAGGCCTACATTCTTTTCTCGTCTGCTATTCCCCATATAAATATATAGGTCTAGCCTAATTTATTTAATCACTGTTCCTGTTCTTTCCCATATATATTCCCTCATACATTCCTTTGCTTACACTTTACTTCACACCATTCTTACCCAGAAATACTATTTTTTCCCCTTCATTCCTTACCTTTCTCTCCTACATCCTCCCTCTTTCTTCCACTCTCCTTCCCTCTAATTTCCCTCTCCTTGTTGTCTCTTTCTTTCTTTCTCTTCTAAGCCCTATCTTCCATTTAAGATTCATGCTCTACCTGAAGCCATTCTGACTGCTCCATATTTTGGCTCTTTTGTCTTCCTTGGAACATCTGCCTCGTTGTCTACTACTTATATGACACATATTTTCTGTGTCTGTAAACTCAGAACTTACATATAGGTATTTGTGCACTCTCTTAAATGTCTGATCCCTAAAAGGTGATAATCTGCCCTGACCTAAAAATTTATCTAGAATAGGTATAAAAATTTAATCAGCATAAATTTATATCCATATATAACTGTAAGGACTTAATGTGGGTGACTGTTTTAATTTCAAATATTTTTGACACTGTGGGTGATTACTGTGGTGAATTTGTTCATCTTTGTTAAGTGCAAGAGTAAATAATGATGGTCCACAAAGAAAGATGCTTATATTAGGAATGAAAAAACCGTCATATAATTTTTAAGTTTGGTGTATTGTACTACGCTGAATTGTGCACTTGAAGGATTGCACAGCTACAATTTTTCAAGGTAGAAGAATCTGAATTTTTAAATTCCTTGCCTTTTTCCTTAAAGGAGAAATACTGTTTTATCTTAATTATTTATATGGCCAATAAGCACATCAAAAGATGTCCAATTTTTCTAATACTCAGAGAAATGCAATTCAGAATAACAGTAACAATTTTTAACAGATAATGAAGTATGTAACAGCTAATGAAGAATGTAACAGATAATGAAGAATGATAGCACCCGGTGTTGCCAAGAGTTTAGGGTTTAGGGAAAATGGACACTCTCCTACAACTTGTGATGAGATTATAAATTGTAAAAAACCTTTTTTCAGGGAAATAATTTGGCAGTATGTAGCTAAAGCTTTAAAAATGTGCCCACCCTTTGACTTAGCAAAGATATGTTTAAGGTTGTGCAAAGATATGTATAAAGATATTCATCGGAACATTATTTATAATGGTAAAGACTAGAAATAGTGTAAATATTCATCATTATATTAGAGGGGCTGAGTAAAGAAATTCTGATACATCTATATAGTTGAATACTATGTAGTGTTATAAAGTGATTATACTTTTATATTTGTAAACATAGAAATATATCTGCAGAGTACATTTAAGTTAGGGAAAAACATAAAACATAGTAAATAGTAATTCTAGTTCCTATAGGAAGAAATATACAAGTATATATGTATGTCTATTAATAAAGTCTGAACAGTGATAGAATTATGGATAAATGAATGTATTCTTGTAACACTTTATTGAGATATAATACACTGCATAACATAAAATTCAGTGGTTTTTAGTATGTTCATTGGGTTGTGCAACCTTTGCCACAATCAATTTTAGAGCATTCCACCACCCCAAAATGAAAACGCGTATCCTTTAGTTCCCAATGCTCATTTTTTTTACACTGCCACCTTCAACTCTGGGCAACCATTAATCCACTTTTTGTCTTGATATATTTGCCTATTACAGACATTTCTTATACATGAAGTCTTCTGTGAATAACTTCTCTCACTTAGCATAAAGTTTTCAACATCTAACTATGTTGTGGCATTTATCATTATTTCATTCCTTTTTATTAGTGAATAATATTCAATTGTATGGATATACCACAGTTTGTTTATCCATTTATTGGCTTATGGACATTTAGATTGCTACCACTTTTTGGCTTACTATGAATAACACCATGAATATTTATGTACAGGTTTTTATGTGGACTAACATTTTCTTTTCTCTTGGATATATACCCAATCGAATTGCTGAGTCATATGGAAACTTTATCATTTTGAGGAACTACCAAACTGTTTTCCAAAGTGTACCATTTTCTTTCTCCTAGTAGTATATGAGGATGAATATATTACTTTATTTTTTTATTGTTATTATTATTTTTTATTTTGGTATCATTAATCTATGAATATATTACTTTTGTAATTAGAAAATAAGTGATTTCTATTTTGGAGGAAAATAATAAGGGTATTTTAACCATTTCTTTGCAGTTTAAGGTTTGTTAGTGGAAGTAGAGATGGAACAGCAAGAATTTGGCAATATCAGCAACAAGAATGGAAGAGTATAGTGCTAGATATGTCTACTAAAATGACTGGGTAAGATTGGATGTTAGAAATCTCAGTGGTTCTCATATGGTATAGTATCTTTTACATTGTTGAATTATATTCAAGAATGAAAATAAAATATTATAAATTAGTAGCTTGGAGTTAATTGGTAGATGTGAAGTTTGCATCTGTGTTTATTTAGTCTAAGTAAATTGCCTTTTGTTGTTAATAGGCTAAATGATAGGGACATTAATGACTTGTCCAAAATTTTGGTCTCTTGTCACCCAAAGATTCTGTGCTCTACTAATGCCAACAGAGTCATTCTCTATCTTAATTTTCTATAGGCCATTATTTTGTAGCTATCTATACTACTTTTTACTTGGAGGGTTGTCCGTATTAAATGTCATCATATGTTTAGCTATTTTTCTAACTTACTGAGAATACCTTCATAATGTTTCATATTGTTAGCATTCCTTTTCAACATTGTAAGTGCACTTAGTCAACATTCTGTTTCATCATCTTCACTGTTAATTGGAAGATATATAATTACATCTTTAGGACACTACAGTTCCTATAGGGTATGACTCTGAAATTAATTATCTTCCTATTTCCTATTAATAACAATATAGAACTAACTTTAATGTCATAGCTAGTTACTGATAATGAGATGTTCAATTAAATCAAAAGTTACTGAATTTCTCACTTCTTTTACAAGACTTACTAGTTTCAAAGAATTTAATATTTAAGGGAATGATGTATTCATTATATATTTTCTTCATATTTTTTGGAAGCCAACATAACCTTTGTATTTTATTTTTCAAGGTATTTGTAGATTTCTTTCTAGCTCCATTTTTTCTTTTGTTCCATGTAACTATAAATTTCTTTATTTTTCTGTCTTTTTTTTCCTACCTAAAATAGGCTTATGTAGATACTTTAGTTACTTTGTTTTGTGAGAACTTAAAGGTATAGTTTATGATATTTTTATCTAGAAAGTAGATTTTGCCATAATTTGCTATTTCAGGTGCCCCTTTGTTAAAAGTTCACAGTGTATAAATACTTCAAATCATTTTATTTAGGAACAATTTGTCATCTGGAGATGACAAGGTCACTAAGCTTAAGGTGACTATGGTGGCCTGGGATCGTTATGATGCCACAGTTATTACTGCAGTGAACAATTTCCTTTTGAAAGTATGGAATTCTATCACCGGGCAACTTCTTCATACTTTATCTGTAAGTATTCTATTTTTATAATAATAAAAATGTTCAGAAAGTGCATTTTTCCAGAAGACAGGAAATTTAGGTTTCAGTTTGCTTTCTGTTATGAACTATCCCTGAAAAGTAATTATTGGAGGTAACTCTGTTAACATATCTGCAAAATAGGGGTGATACATGTGGCTGCTAAAAGCAGGTTTGAAAACTCTTCAAGGTCCTTTCCAGGTCTGATATCTATTATCTTATCATATGCAGTCAAGGGTATATAAGTTATTTTGTTTTTATCATGAGTTGGGATTTTTTATTGTTACTGTTTTATGTAGAACTAACTTTATTTGGACAAGAGTGAGTATCCTGTGTATCCTACCTTCAAGGATTAGTTTTTACAAGAAGTAGATGTAGGAAGAAGTAGGAGAAAAGTGTACCTTTTCCTCTTCCTTTTAAAAAATGTATTTGTCATCATAAAAGGCTGCAATATTTGTGGTGTGAAAAGTTGATAGGATTAATAGCAGAAATCACATAGGTGGATTTGAAGTTTGTCATTTTATCATGGTACAGGTTGGCTTCAGGTTAAATTTCACTTGAAAACCTTATTACCTATCTGCTTCAATTATCAATTCATTAGTACTTCAAGGAGAGGGACCAAGTGATTGCCCTATGGTTTATATAGTAGGAAGTGCTAGGGACTAGAAACCAATTATCATGACTCAATTCTCTTAGTAGTAGAGTGTGGTATCCTTATTTGACTCTTACATGAAATAATTTTATCTTAAGTCCTCTGAGGTTTCTAAATATTTGTTTAATTTGGGAGGATTTTTAGTTTATCTTTCATATACCTCCCAAGTCCTCTTTGTGGAATAAAACTCTCACACTATGTAAGTGGAATTTTAGATTATTTTATCAGTTAAACCAGTACTTACCTCATTCTGACTGTCTCTATTCCTTGATACAAGTATCTATTAATATATGTAGAAAAACCTATGGTGTGTGCTTGATTCTTTATTAGGAAATGTTTGTCTATGTCAACACACTCCAATAGAAATAATGACATGTAATATTAATTTTTCTAGTAGCTGCAATCAAAATGTAAAACAAAAGTTAAATTAAGACATTAAAGACTCTTGTCACATTTTCTGTGGCCTTTTTAAATAGCAAGGTCCTAGAAATATGAATTCCAATTAGGGGCCTGGTTAAGGAGATGTAACTATTTCAGACTGTATTTTCAACATCTTTCCAGGACTTCTGTCTATTCAGTACTTAATGAAATCACCACGTAAAAGTATAAGGGACTCTTAACTGAGCTGACTTGGAGTGTCCCTGTAGTAAATGATGTGTTATGAATTTATCTGAGCCACATTGATAACACCAAATTGATATCTTTTGACCAAATAGCAGATGCTTGGTGTTGCTGATCATTTTTTATACTGATTGTATCGCAGGGACATGATGATGAAGTATTTGTCTTGGAAGCACATCCATTTGATCAAAGGATTATATTGTCAGCAGGTCATGATGGGAACATTTTTATTTGGGACCTTGACCAGGGGACCAAAATTCGGAATTATTTTAACATGGTAAGGAAAATCTGTGCTTAGTTCATATTAAAATAGATTTCTCTTGTATGGCAACTTGGTAATTAAAGTATACTTAGTGCCAAGAGACCTCTTGTCATCTGTGTTCAAATTCATATAATAGTTTAGAGAATGCCTCAAGACCTGAGAGTAAGCCCAGTAGAGAGTTGTGCCTTTCAGAGTACCTCTGTTATGATGATGTTAGCATTTTCCGAATTCTGGTCTCTAGCTCTAAACTCTAGAAACTCAAATATAATAAGCATTTGGAGCTAATGCTAACCAAAATCACAAAAAACAGTTAATGTTTAATCTGTAATCCTAATTTGTGAATCACAACAGTTACTGTATGGTATCTGCCTTTTGTAAACCCCATATGGCTTAGTTAGTAGGAATTTGTTGGGCAAACGTGGAATTGAAGGTATGTATACTCTTAAGCTATATTTCATATAAACTGTGCAAAAATCTGGTGAGCTTTCTATTCTCCCAGTAGAACACCATCTTAATGGTTATGAGAATACTCATATCTTCCATATTTAGTGTCCCTCCCTGAAGAATAGTTATGACTAATCATTTCTAAATTGTTGGGTTTTGAGCTCCCTTCTGTAGGCTTTATGCAGATCCAGAACATTAAATTCCCTCTGTCTTTTGTTAGTAAAATTGCTTTGTGTGCCTTAACTTTTAGGAAGGTTTTTTTAAGGTTTACCTGCATTGTAATTTAAGATGTGAAGCTGGTATCTTGACTTTGATGAGGTAGCTAGCACCTTTGTTAGTTTGGCGGTGTTTAGGTCTTTTTTGTTCTCAGTTACTCATTTAGTACTTCTTGAGATATAACATTGGTAGTAATGTTTGATGTCATCCATTGCATTTTGATCCTCCCAAATTTCTTTTAGAGATTTACTGTTTCAGTAGTGTTTTGGCTACAGAAGCCAGAGAGTAGATTGGTATGTTGGTGTATTACAGAATTCAAGATATTAGCAAGCAGAAGCTATTGCCTACTTATCACTTGAAAATTACCTCTTAAGATGACTTAAAGTGACTGCTCTAAATTTCAGATTGAAGGCCAAGGCCATGGTGCAGTGTTTGATTGTAAATTTTCACCAGATGGAAACCATTTTGCCTGCACAGATTCTCATGGGCATTTGCTGCTTTTTGGTTTTGGATGCAGTAAATACTTTGAAAAGGTTAGTATCTTTAATTTTTGTTATAGACTGCAATTTTGGATTGTATCATTCAGGTTTATTTGAAGTGATCTAGTTATTTAGGGACATTGTGTTTCAATATATATAAAATAACAAAGTCACCTTTCTTGGTAAAATTTTTTATTGCTGCCAGAACACAGGGCTTGGTAGTTTGAATTACTATTATGATATAGATATAAAAATTCATTGGAAAATCCTATTGTTAAGAACATATTCCTTGTACTGGCTTTCAGGTATAATAGGAGAACAACTTTACCAGATTGAGTCTTCTACTTAGCATAAATTAGGAATAAACTGCTGGTGACTGAATGTTTGCTTTCTTGCTTGGCTACTTTAACTATTCTTGATCTTGTTAAAATACTTTGGAAGCTAACTTAAATGGTTCCTTATATTTTATTAGCTATGAATTTGGAATAGATTATAGTGTCTTGGAGTTGGAAGAGAACTCAAAATCATTGAGTTCAGCTCAATACTAATACTGTCTGAGTGTCCCCGATGCAGTTGATAATTTACCAGCCTCACCATTTATATTATACTCCATCTATATTTGTTTGAATAAAAATAAGCAAGAAAAATAGTTATTAAGGTGTGTATGATTTTTCATATTAAATAAAAATACCTAACTTTAATTACCATGTTGCTGTTTTACTTCTTCCTATCCTAATTAGAAAAATATAAGGCCAGAAAGTAACACAGATTGTAGGATGGTATGGAAAAAGGGTAGGGTTATGATTTAGATTATTCATTTCTACGTAGAGAGAACATGGCAATAGAGGGCTAGAAAAGAATGCAGAATCATCTGATTGGAAAAGCGCATGTGCTCTAGGATTGAAAATAAGTGCTTGTCTATAGATTCCTTATGCACCTTAAAATCTAAAAATCTATCATAAAGATTCCAGATCAGATGTTCTTCCACACGGATTATCGGCCTCTTATCCGTGATGCCAACAACTATGTATTGGATGAACAAACTCAACAAGCTCCTCACCTCATGCCTCCCCCATTCTTGGTGGATGTTGATGGAAATCCTCATCCCACAAAATTCCAAAGGCTAGTACCAGGACGGGAAAATTGTAAAGATGAACAACTGATACCACAGCTGGGATATGTGGCTAATGGTATGTTACCTCCAAAATGAAACAAAGCATTTTGCAAAAGGTTATACTTTTTATTGTTCTCAGTGATATATGCCCCCTGCTGAACTCTGTAATAGGTTATATTTTACCAAATACTTCTATTAATTTTCAGTTGCCTAGTACTTTTTCCTTTACCAGAGTACTATTCCATTTTTATCTTACCTGGACACATAGTAATAGATTAGGACAAACAAACATACTCAAGCCAAGAATGTCGTGACCAGCTTCGATCAGACTCTGAACTTAATGTATGGTCCTGTTTTTATAGTATTGATTCTAGTAATGTACTAACTTTGATGTATCAAGCTTTTATAATTGGTGGAGTTCAACTACTCAAAGTATTGGTATTTTAATTTGAAAGACCACAGTTAATGGACCTAAAAGGAGGAAATTAAAAAAACGAGCTAGGAAGTATCTGTTTATTTCATCCTCATGTTTGAAATGCAAAGAATAATTTGAGTATCGGGTGGGGGAGTGAGTGTTTAAGTAACACGCAGTCTTTGAGGATAGTGAAGAAGCAGTGATACGTGTAATGTGTGATGTGAGGATAGTAGAATAAGAAACTGAAAAAAGGTATTCTCTATGACAGCAACTCTTCCAGTTGGCATATTTCCCTTAATGTATATTGCCTCCTCCACCTCAATCCCATACTTCCTGTCTCTGTCATATTTTGGTAATTTTAACAATCTTTAAAACCTTTTCATTTTTATTATATTTGTTATGGTGAACTGTGATCAGTGATCTTTGATGTTCCCATTTAATTGTTTTGGGGCACCACGGACTATACCCACATGACACGGCATCTTTAATTGGTAAATGTTACAGTGTGTGTTTTGACTGCTTCATTGACTGGCCGTTCCCCTCTCTCCCTCCCTCTCCTTGGGCTGCCCTATGCCCTGAGACACAAGAATATTGAAATTAGGCCAATTAATAACCCTACAGTGGCCTCTAAGTGCTCAAGTGAAAGGAAGAGTTGCACATCTCTCAGTTTAAGTCAAACACTAGAAATGATCAAGCTTAGTGAGGAAGGCATTTGAAAAGCCTGGATGGGCCAAAAGATAGGCTTCTGGTGCCAAACAGTTAGCCAGGTCGTGAATGAAAATAATTCTTGAAGGAAATTAAAACTGCTACTCCAGGAACACATGAATGTTACAGAAGTGAAACAGCCTTATTGCTGATACAGAGAAAGTTTTAGTGGTCTGGATGGAAGGTCAAACCAATCACAGCATTCTCTTAAGGCAGAGCCTAATCCAAGCAAGGCCCTAACGCTCTTCAGTTTTGTGAAGGCTGAGAGAGGTGAAGAAGGTGCAGAAGAAAGGCTGGAAGCCAAGCAGAGTTTGGTTTGCGAGATTTAGGGACAGAAGCCATCTTCATAACATCAAAGTGCAAGGTGAAGCAAGTACTGACATACAGAAGCTGTGGCAAGTCATCCAGAAGATCTAGCTGAGGTAGTCAGTGAAGGTGGCTGCACTAAGCGACAGATTTTCAGTGTGGTGATAAAACGGCCATCTGTTGGAAGAAGAAGCCATTTAGGGCTTTTCATAGAGTAGAAGTCAATGCCTGGCTTCAAAAGTTCAAAAGAGAGGCTGACTCTTGTTAGGGGCTAATGCAGGTAATGGTGATTTTACGGTGAAGCCAATGCTCGGCCATTCCGAAAATCATAGGGCCCTTAAGAATTACGTTAAATCTACTCTACCTGTGCTCTCTAAATGGATCAAGAAAGCCTGGATGACAGCACATCTGTTTTTACAACAGGGTTTCCTCAATAGTTCAGGCTCACTGTTGAGACCTCCTACTCAGAGCAAGAGATTTCCTTTCAAAATCTGACTGCTCACTGATAATGCACCTGGTCACCCAAGAGCTCTGATGGAGATGTACCATGAGATCAATGTTGTTTTCATGCCTGCTAACAAAACCTCCATGCTGCAGCCCATGGATCAAGTAGTAATTCAAGTCTTATTATTTAAGAAATACATAGATAGCAATTCCTCTGATGGATCTGAGCATAAATTGAAAACCTTCTGGAAAGGACTCCCCATTCTAGATGCCATTAAGATCATCGTGACACCTGTGAAGAGGTCAAAATGTCAACATTAGCAGGAGTTTGGGAGTTTGGAAGAGCTGATTCCAACCGAGATGGGCGATTTTGAGGTGTTCAAGACTTCAGTGGATGAAGCTGCTTCAGATGTGATGGAATAACAAGAGAACTAGTATTGGGAGTAGAGCCAGAAGCTGTGACTGAATTGCTACAATCTCATGATAAAACGTAATGGATCAGGATTTGCTTCTTAATGGGTGAGCAAAGATTCCACTTTCTCAGGGTGGAATTTACTTTCAGTGAAGATGCCGTGAAAATTGTTGAAATGAACAGCAAAGAGTTTAGAGTGTTACATAAACTTAGTTGATAAAGAAGAGGCAGGGTTTGAGGACTGACTCAACTTTTGAAAGAAGTTTTATTGTGGGTAGTAATGCTATCAAACAGCATTGCATGCTACAGAGAAATCATTTGTGGAAGGAAGAGTCAGTGGATGTGGCCAGCTTCATTGTCTCATTCTAAGAAATTGCCACAGCTACTCCAGTCTTTGGCCACCACCACCTTCATTAGTAAGCAGCCATCAACACTGAGGAAAGACACTGCACCTGCAAAAAGATTAACAGTTGCTGAAAGGTGAGGTGCTGGTTAGCATTTTTTTTTTTGAGAGGGCATCTCTCATATTTATTGATCAAATGGTTGTTAACAACAATAAAATTCTGTATAGGGGGGTCAATGCTCAATGCACAATCATTAATCCATCTCAAGCCTAATTCTTGTCAGTCTCCAATCTCCTAAAGCATAACAAACAAGTTCTTACATGGTGAACGAATTCTTACATAGTGAATAAGTTCTTACATGGTGAACAGTACAAGGGCATTCATCACAGAAAATTTCGGTTTTGATCACGCATTATGAATTATAAACAATCAGGTCAAAAATGAATATTTGTTTGATTTTTATACTTGATTTATATGTGGATCCCACATTTCTCCCTTTATTATTATTATAATTTTTATTTTTAATAAAATGCTGAAGTGGTAGGTAGATGCAAGATAAAGGTAGAAAACATAGTTTAGTGCTGTAAGAGGGCAAATGTAGATGATCAGATGATCAGGTGTGTGCCTATGGACTAAGTATTAATCCAGGCTAGACAAGGGCAGCAAGACATCCACGGATGCAGAAGATTTCTCTCAAAGCAGGGGGGGTGAGGTTCTGAGCCTCACCTCTGTTGATCCCCAAATTCTCACCTGATGGCCCCCCTGCGACTGTGCCTGTCTTAGGTTGTTCCTCCCTTGAGGAATCTTACCCGTCTCTGGCTAACCAGTCATCTTCCGGGGCCATACAGGGAAATGTAAAGTTGGTAAGTGAGAGAGAAGCCATATTGTTTGCAAAGGTTAGCTTTTTACTTCTTTGCAGATTTATGCCCTGTGGCTTCTATGCCCAGCACTTGTCTCGAGGTATCTTTACCACCTGGAGGAATTATGATACTCGGTAAATTCGATATGAGGCACGAATTCTATTTAAGGGTTGTAATTAGGAAGGAAGAAGAAAAGCTATAGAGGTAGCATATGGAAGAAAACATGGGAGGATTGATTGTTTCTTTGACATATTTTCTTGTAGAGTACCTTAAGCATGTATAGGTTTTAAACTACTAACTAACTTGTGCACACATATTAACATAATAGGAATACGGTGACATAAACTAAGCAAATCTGTAATTACCAACCATCTCCAGTGAAGCCAAGAAAACCAGTTAGGCACCCTAGGCATTTGTGAGAATTTGTCTATGATATGATGGATATTGTCCAACTGTTCTTGAACAGTCTGAGAGAAATCAGACAAATTAAAGCAACCCATTTCTGGGATCTGTTCACATCCCATATGTTCTTTTAACTGTAGATAGTCTATAGTCGTAAGATTTTTGAACGCTACAACTTGCACTCCTCCCAACTCCTGGTTGAGTTCCAACAGTACAGATCCACTCAAATTCGTTGTCTCACTATGCACATGCCAGCCTAGACATCTCCCTCCTCATTCCAGTGGCAAGTCCAGGAAACGGTGGGATGGATGCAGCCGCAACCGCAGCATCGCCCCGATCCCTGTGGAGGCTTTTTGATGACCATCCCCCAGCACGAGTCCTTCAGAGAGTGCTGATGCCGGAAGCTCCTCCCCGTATCGTATCTTAGTTCATTTTCTGGGTAGCCAAGCTAGGCCTTGATCTTCTGCATAGAAACAAACAGACCCTTTGCCTACACTTTGACATGCCCTCTATACCACTGTGTAGAACTCATTGGAGGTCAGCACACAGGAACTGCTGTTTTTTTTTTTTTATTATTAAGAGAAAGGAATATTATCAGAAAAGAGTACCTCCATAGCCAATCATCTGACACCCTTTTAAGTGATCAAAATTAAGGATATTTAAAGCATGCGTTAATCTTTGATTAACCAATAGTTTTATCCTATCAAGGAGTAATCCCCCTTTTCTTTCATTCTATTTTATCTATTTTTTAATCTTTCATCTACACTTACATGAAAAATACTATGTTTACTGTGCTCTCCCCTATACCAAGTCCCCCCTGAAAACCACATTACAGTCACTGTCTATCACCATAGCAAAATGTTGTAGAATCATCACTACTTGTCCTCTCTGTGTTGTACAGCCCACCCTCCCCTTTCTCCCTCCCCCTCCTATGCATGCTAATCTTAATATCCCCGTTCTTCTTCCCCCACCTTATCCCTTCCTGCCCACCCATCCTCCCCAGTTCCTTTCCCTTTGGTACCTGTTAGTCCACTTTTGGATTCTGTAATTCCGCTGCTGTTTTGTTCCTTCAGTTTTTCCTTTGTTCTTATACTCCTAAGATGAGTGAAATCATTTGGTATTTCTCTTTCTCTGCTTGGCTTATTTCACTGAGCATAATACTCTCCAGCTCCATCCATGTTGCTGCAA